TCTCATATTTCCTTGACGGTTTTCTTCTTGTGGTACTGATCAAAAAGAGAATTACGAAATATTGCATGGCAAATGTAGGGATGGAAACGAGGGGGCGGGGGGGCCCTCCCCTCCCGCTAAGAAATTCCCCGCCCGTCCTCGCCCCATTACCCTTTTAAAGCGGGGTCCTTGCCCCGTTTACTACCCGTTTAATTTTTTTTTTTTTTTTTTTTGATAATTTATTTTTATTGCCCATATTTATTAGATTTAAAGAAATAATTTTAACTGCTATTTTCTATTAGAACTAATGAAATTTTTCATTTAAAATATTAAATTCAAAAAATTTTTTTTTTAAAAATTTAATGGGGCGGGGCGCCGGTTACCCGTCCCCGCCCCGGGGCAAAATTCCCCGCCCCAAATACCTGATTAAGCTGGCGGGGCCCTTGGGTATCGGATTTGTCAGGTTTTTTTGTCATCCCTAGGCAAATGTGACCCTTGCATATGTAAATCATCTTGATCCCCTTTTTGTCTAGCACTTGTATCGCCAATGGTTCATTTTTTTGTCTCTTATGGCTTTAATGTTGTAGTCTTTTACACTACGTTGAGGGTTGTGAAAAGAAGTGAAGTTTGTTTTGCCATATTCGAAAATTAGAACCATCGAAACTTTCCAATTTGACAAAGTCTAATGCAAAATCTCGTAGCTAAAACATTAGATGTGCCATAGAAAACTTGAAATAATGTCTAGAGATTGTTGGTAGAATCAATCTTCAGATATTAAGTAGAAGACTAGAAGTTGGAATATCGCAGAAACTCGAACTTCAAGCAATACCGGCTTCAAGGCACGTAACAAGTGTCACTTCCCTTAAGATATAATTTGCCCCGCCAATCTGTGTGTTGCAAAACAATCAAGATACTAGAATAACTTTGATACCAATTGTTGTGGAACAAACCATCGGATTGAGATGTTGAAGTTATATGACAAATAATAATGAAATATATGATCAAGTAAAAGAATAATAAAGACAAGAATATGACAGAGAAATTAATAGATTTTATTGACTCAAAAATAATGAAGAATTAGGGGATGTCCAAACCCACCTAGTAGAGTTATTGATGAAGTAGGATACCATAAAATTGAGTCCAAAACAAATTTCAACTCCCAATGGGTTTCCAAAATATAATATCAACATGATATAAGACTTCAATAATATTTCAAATTTGAATTCTTCATGACGTGCACTTCAATTAAAATTCTTCAATTATTTCAACAAGAAATTCGGGTCACCCAAATTCTAACAATCTCCACCTTGACACGAATTCCACCAAGGAATGAACTAACTTCTTCAACAATAATAAAAAAAAATTAATTTCTTTAACCAAACACAAAATACTCTACATCTTCCAATGAATCCAAGCACTACTCTGCAGAATTATCTCAGATTCCAAAAAATCATAATGATTTTATAATTTACCAAAATGGGCTGTAACACACCTCAAAGCAGAATCAATACCAAATGCTTTTACAGAAGGCTCATTGGTAGATTGTACACCTTTTACTCCACTTAAAGCATGCTCAACAAAATTAGCGTCCACATACCCTTTTTCTATTGGGTCCGTCCCTAACAATTGAATACAATGGCACCGCAAGTGATGGTGGCAAAGCGGCATTATCCATATCTCTTGAACTCCACTGAACTATATTGTACCAAACTGAATGTCCACCACGGTCCTGAACTTGTACTGATTGACTCTTCTAAATTTTGCACGACCCTGTAAGATGTATAACCGAGACATTTTTTGTCCCTCCAATACAACTTGAGCACCCTTACAAACCTTCAAAACTCCACCTCCACCAAAGAACTCATAACCTTTTGAATCAAGGATAGACAACGAGATGAGATTTTTCTTCAAATCTGGAACATGTCGAACCTGGCCAAGTGTTCTAATTGTCCCATCCAAAAGTTTCAATCTGACTATGCCAATTTCAGCAACCCAACAGGATGCATTTTTTTCCATAACCACAACACCTTTAGAAATAGTTTCATATGTAGCAAACAAGTCATTATTAGGACACACATGTTGAATCAAGAATCCAATCATCTTCCGGTTTAGACTCAATGTCAGAAATAGCTAAGACTTTCCCATCACTTACAACGTTCTTCACGAGGTCTACTTCATCTGAAGTATATGAATATCTACTTACAGCCACCATTTCTTTATTATGCAATTTGTAGCAATCCTTATTTAAGTGCCACTTCTTTTTGCAGTAGTTACAAATTTGATTACTGAATTTAGATTTTGATTTGCCCCTTCCAGAACTACCATGAGCAACTAGACCTTCTCCATCTCTTTTATCAGAAATCATATGCTTTATATTCTCTTTTGAATACAAAGCATCATACAT